CCAGCTGACGTGCAACTACAAATCCAGTCAGGCATTACAAGACTTTGACAGCCATAGGCATTAATCCCAAAGGCAGATGCATGATAAGAGTTGTAGTTTAACCACAGCTGGAGGGCTGGAGTTTGCCTACCACTGCCCTAGATCAAGGATGCCCACCCCATTATCTCTGTACCTAATACCCTTATCACCCTAACTAACCCTATCGACTAGGGATGCACCAATATTTCGGCCGCCGAAATGTATCGGCCGAAAATGGCACTTTTGGCAAAATGCTGAAAGTGCAATTTTTCGGCCGAAAGAGCAGTGCATTCGTGCTTTCTCTCCTCCCCGCTGGGCGCTGCTATGTGTCCCAGCGGGGAGGAGAGAAACTGTCACAGGAGGCCGAGTTGTGCAGGAGGAGAGTGCAGTGAGCGTCAGGCGTCTCTCTTTCCGCACCGCTCAGCCTCCTGTGACAGATCAAGAGAGCGGTGTATGGGCAGAGTCAGCTGTCAGACCGAGCTCTCCTCCCTGCACCGCTCGCTCAGCCTTCTGTGACAGCCGATCCAGGATGGAGAGCGGGTACAAGCACTCAGTGATCGCCGAGTGTTTGTAAATAATTGAGGACATAGTATGTTTACTGTGTCCTCAAATTTTCAATGAATGGGAAATGATCTACATCACTTCCTGTTGATTCATGATTGAGGATTTAGTAAATACACAAAGTTCTCATGTTATGAATGAACAGGAACACTTGGCATAGAGGACTCTCAATCTCTTCTATTTTAAAAGGGAAATATCAGGGGTCTGTTTAGACCCCTAATATTTCCTCAAAGCCCCTAAAAGTAAAGTAAAAAATATTTACAGATATATAAATAAATATATATATTTTTTAAAGTTTATAAAAAATAAATAAAAATTAAATATTATAAAAAAAAAGAAAATTTAGAAAAAAACATTTTCAGTTTTGGTTTCGGTTTCGGCATGACATTTTTTTTCATTTCGATTTCGTTTCGGTTTTGAAATTTTAATTTTGGTGCACCTTTACCATCAACCCCTATATCTCTCCCTTGCACAGTATGTCCCAGCTCTTCCAGGACAGGTGAATTAGCTGCACACTTTCCCAGGGTGATGATGACAGAGATGGAACTGGGACTTATGGCTTCCCCAGAACAGGGGCTAGAACGGCCTAAACGCTGCTCATTCTCAGCACACATTAGTGCTGGAATGAAGGAACTCCTGTGTGCATATGTGGGAGTTACATCATTCCGGACAAGCCACGTAATTATGGCTGGAGATCCCAAACCCGAAAAAAGGTCAGGTGAAGATGTCTGCACCGGCGAGGGAGTGTGGGGAGGGGTGAGTTAAATTCTGCTTAAAAAAAAGAGACCTCTGTAAATAATTGTATTTTTGTTTATCACTTTTTATGCAACGGCTAAATCAGGTCCAGACAGAACGGCCACTCAATCCATGTCTGCACCACGGTCCGCCATTTAGGTTGCATTTACACCAGCAGTTGCACTGCAAAACACAGATACTGGTGTGTGTTTCCAAGCATGATGTTGATGCATCAATCCCGGTGCATTACACTTTTTTTCAGGTTTTTCCTAGAACTTTATTGAAATTTCACTAGTGACATTTTATTAAGTTGTATAGGCAAAGCGCAGTGTGATGCGGTTGCACTACATCGTGGCCTGCCTCACTGGTAAAAGTACAGCATCCATCAGAGTGACCCTTACATCAGTTCTGCCCATCAGAGTGCCCCCTTATTAGACTTGTGCGCTGTCAAAAAATTCGTTCTGTTTCGTTTCGGAATATCCGTTATTTCGTATTTTGTAATCCGTAACTGAACTCAATTCGGATTCGTACGAAATACGAATTTTCGTTAGTGGCGGTTATATTTTCGTAACTTTACGAACATTCGTTATGATGAAGTTAAAAAGCAAAATACCTTTGTTAATATTGGAGTGGTAGTTGTTTTTTTTATCCGAAATACGAATTCCGTTAACGAATTCCGGATCCGAATTTCGTATTTCGGATTAAAAAAAAACTACCATCAATCAACTCCAATATATTAACAAAGGTATTTTGCTTTTTAACTTCAATATAACGAATGTTCGTAACGGAACGAAAATACGTCAACGGAATTTCGTATTTCGGATATAATTCGGAAACTGCCATTCGGATGCTCCGAAATTCGGAATTTCAGGAAAATTCGTACGAATTTCGATTCGTAACGAAACAAATTGCACATGTCTACCCCTTATACCAATTATCCCCATCAGAGTGCTCCTTATATCAATTCTCACCATCAGAGTGCCCCCTTATATCAGTTGTTCACATCGGAGTGCCCCCTTATATCAGTTGTCCCCATCAGAGTGCCCCTTAGATTAGGTGTCCCCCATCACACTGCTCCCTTACATTAGGTGCCCCTATGAGAATGTCCCCTTACATTCGGTGTACCATACCAGACTGCCCCCTTACATGGTTTGTCCCCATCAGACTGCCCCCTCACATACCTTGTCCCCATCAGAGTGTCCCTTTATGTTTGTTTTTAATGTAAGGGAACACTCATTTAAATACACACTCCGATGAGGGCAACTAATAATTAGTTGTCCTCTTTAGAATGCCCCTTACATTGGCTGTCCCTATCAGTGTGCCCCCTTACATTAATTGTGAAAGTAAGGGGCACTTTGATGGGGACAACTAATTTGGAGAGGGAAGCTCCCATGAGGGCACATAATAATTAGTTGTCCCCATGAGAGTTTCCCCTTACATTTTTTGTCCCCTACGGACCCTCAGAGTGCCCCTTTATGGTACTTTTTTCTTCATTATACTAGGTATATGTTGGGAGGCAGAGCCCGAAGCCAAAGCCAAGGGGGTGGAGCCAGGAGGAGCTAGGAGTGGAGCTGGGAGGGGCAGGGAGACCGGGAGATGGAGATCGGGGGGTGCTAAAGCCTGGGAGGTGCAGCTGGCTACAGGCGGCTGAAGAGGATGGAAGATACTCTTCCGTCCTCCTTCAGTGTTCGGCGGGGAGTGCAGTGATGTCATTGGTTGCTAGGAATGCTGCCGTTCTAGCAACCAATGGCACAGGAGAACGCAGGTTCACTGGTGATCGCAGACCGGACGGAACAGCCGCTTGGTCTTTGTGCGGACCTTTTTTTTCCCTTTATTCAGACGGTGCTTTTGTGTATTTAGGGTAGTTAAAGTGTATCTAAATCCGAAAGCTAAAATATCATATTTTGCAGTTCGCCAATTTTTAATACTATTACAATGTACTTTTTTTTAAAAGTAGTATTAAACTCTGACTTTTGTTTTAATAATGAATTGAAATGAAAATGAAAACAAATATACATTGATCAGCAAAGTATTTATTTACATTTTAGATGAAGCACTTCCAGTCATCATGTTTTCGAACAGCTTCCACTCTCTCAGGTTGGCTTCCCTAAACTTCCTGTCCAGTACAAGATCACAAGGGAAAGAGCAGTCTTCAGCAACTGTTCATCTACTAGCTTGCAGAAGGGAGGAAGGAGGAGATATGAGCAGGGGGGCAAGTGGCTTGTCTTGCTGTACCTGTATTTTTGTGGAGACACACACAGCATACTATATAAAATCTCTCTCTCTCTCTCCCTCCCTCCCTCTCCCTCTCCCTCCCCCTCCCTCTCCCTCCCTCTCTCCCTCTCTCTCTCTCTCTCTCTCAAAGCACAGGACCCATAGAATAAAAAATGGCATTTCGCACAATATTTGCACAAATGTTTATATTTTGGGAGAAAAAATAAGAGTTAATATTTTTTAGAAAAAGACACTAAAATGAATTTGAATGCACACAAACACAATTTAATACCCAGTTGTTTGGTAAAATATAAAGAGATGGGGTTACATTAAGTAAATAGATACCAAACATGTCAAGCATTAAAACTGTGCCACCCGTGCAATATAAAAAAACTATGGTACTCAAAATTGTCCATAGGCGACGCTTTAAAAGCCTTTACTGCTCATCAGTTTAGCGTTGGCAGCGAATTATAGCCCTGGAATGATTGTTCTCACTCTGACGTTCACGGTGATATCTAAAGTGCGGTGCAATCGTCATTTACGTACAGGTACATGCCCTATGTGGGCGTATTCATTCGCATGCAGATGGTGGAGCAGCGGGATTGGTTTTATTTTGTTTTACATTTATAAAATGTTGTTCTTTTTTAGCACTCTTTAAATGTGGGGGCACCACACATGCAGGCTGCTACAAATGATCGAGCATCACCTGCTGAAATAAAAGATACCAAGATCATGGCTGATGCTGCTAACCACTTTAGGATCAGGGATATTAACCAGAAGTGGTTAATATCAATTTAAGCTTTTGTTTCTTTATTTTCACTTGGCGAGGTCTTTAAGTCCCCGTTCACACATAGCCATAGCGGGAATGTGCGTTGTGGTGACGCACGTTTGTTTCCATTTCAATGGATTCCTGGACGCACCCCAAAAATGGGAAAGTAGTGCATGTTGCAAATTCTGCGACATGTGATCCACAAAGCTTAAATAAAGAAAACTAATGCAGCCACCACATCTGAGAGCTAGTAAACTGCAATATGTGACATTTTTTTTTCTGGGTGTAGACATTCTTTTAGTTTACTTCTTTGTGTTTATTTTGCTTACCCCTACTGGGGAAGTGGTAGGGTTCTATCCTATGCCTACATAAAAAGCTAAAAGACATCACTCTGTCCCCTCTCCTAAAACTAGGTGACCCCGGTTTCCATAGTAATAATGAACCCAGAAGAGGTGTCCTGCCTCCCTCCCTACCCCATGTGATATGTAAATAAACCGTCAACACCAGCCGTAATACCAACTGTCACTCCGTGTAAATCTGCCGCGCTCTCGTGTCTGCACTTTCCACACAGCCCGACTCCAAATGAAGACTAGAAATAGAGATCTACCTGTGGAAAAAAATGGGATTTTTTTTCTATTGATTACATTTTTGAAGTTTGCTCCTATGGCGCTCTGCGGTCATTTGGAGTCTATATAAAAAGTGGTATGGAAAGTGCCGTTGAAGGCGGGATGACCAAGATGGCGTGTGTGCTGGAGCCTCCGCTCCGGATGAGCGTGCTGTCTGTGAGTATATGAGCCGGGGAGACCGCACCCAGCCCGGCCGGGAGGGGTAGAGATGGCTCTGTGCCTCCGTCCACGGGGCCGGTAGGCGGGAGGGGGTGAGGTGCGGGGCCCCCCTGGGGGTGAGGGCCCGGGTGGCAGCATGCCTGTGCTCCTGGAGGGGTGATACTCCTAATCACGGAGTGATGCCTAGAACAGGAATGCTCAGGTTACACACAGGCGCTGCCTTCCTGACATGCGGTTGCCCGTAGCAACAAGTCAATGTGTTGAAACTATTGGCAGCTGATCTGTGGCTGGTTGCATATCATAGGTGTACAAACTGCTGTGTATTCGCCAAACTGACTCCCTGATTTGATATAAATTGAGTGCATTATTAAAGTGTTATTAAATAACAAAAACTACTATCACATTGCCGCACTAGCCACTTTGAACATTTATGTTGTCTGCAATGTCATTAACCCCTTGCTGCTGGCCCTTGAACTGGGTATTAATGTCAGGAGGTGGAGTCCCAGTCATGTGACCACTGTAATTGACTGTCACATCAGTCACATGATCATGAGCCCTTGTTTACAGGAGATATGGGCAAACTCTGGCCTTCCAACTTTGGTGAAACTACAAATCTCAGCATGCATCTGTCTCTGGGAGTCATGCCTGTGGCTGTAAGAATCCTGCAATGCCTCATGGGATTTGTAGTTCCACAGCAGCTGGATGGCTGGAGCTTGCACACCCCAGGAACTGTTAGTGTGCACGCTTAGCACACAACAGCAGAGCCCAATGCATCCACTACCCAGAGCTACACCGCTCCTCCGTTGAACACATAACGTGGCATCGAATGCCTGCCACTGGAGCTCGCCTTCACGCTGTCGCACACAGTCCAAGAAAGAAGTTGGGCTGCACACCGATGACATCACTGGATAAAAGCAACTTTATTCAGACCATACAAGTGCTGAACAGTCCTGCCTTAGGTCTGCCCCCGCTGATGCGTTTCGCCCTCACTGGCTTTGTTGTAGAGATCTTGGATAGCATCTCTTTTTTAGTGGACTGAACACTGGACTATGTGTGCACCAATTAGCTGCATATATTGCCATGGGTTGCCTGTAGCATTATCCCTGTACCAGTTTACAGGCATCCCACTGATGTCTGTGCAGCCATGAAGCACATGAACAACTTTGTACCCAGCCGGCTAGGAAGAAGCAATGTAAACAAAGTCGTAAGGAAACAGGCCTGTCACTTTGCTATGTTTGGGACGGTCCAGCTCCCTTAAAGTAGAACTAAAAGGGGAGTGAAAATCAATCATCCTCATAGTTCGAGCCGACGTGTGACAATGAAACTGTCACACATTGACTCAATAGATTGGAAAGTGAGCGAACGCATACCGTCACTCACTCACTTCTCGATCATCTCCCTGCAGAGAGCCGTGACTGTTAGTCACGGCTCACTGCAGGGATTCCTCCCTGCTCCGATTATCCAGCGCTGACTGTTGGAACGGATGGGGGAGGGGCGGGCACAGCTGGCTCTGCCTCTAGATAGGCAGAGCCAGCGGTCAATCCCGCAGCTGGGTGAATCTCTACAGCATTGTCGGGATCCGTCCCGGCTTCGGCGGTCTCAGTATACAGCGACCTGTAGCTTGCGATATACTGAGCTTTGGGTCACGGGAGGAGGTTAGTATATGTCCTCCCGTGACCCTTAAGAGAACTATGGGTAAAAACACTTACACCATAGTTCTCTTTTAATGAAACTCAGCACAGTCTCTCTTTCTTGCTGTACCACAGCTGCCTGTGCCGATTTGTAGAAAGCTTCTTCTGCTGCCGGTATCTTCCTCCTCTACAGGTTGGCCTGTGATGATGCCACTCCAGGGGTGCGTGATTCCTATCTCCCCATGCCCGGGACATCCAGTTGCAGGTGACGGGCAGGTGTTTTTTTTTTCTACGTTTAGCCCTGCTGCGGGCAGGCAGTGCTAAATGTGGAGCAGGGAAGCCGCTGCTCATTTTGTTCAAGTGATCTGGGCTGCTGTACAGCCTTCCAGATCACTTGTAGCAGCCTGCTTGTCACTCCCCCGCCATGGTTTTTTGGGGTCTCCTTCTCTTCTTGAGGACCCTGGACCACACCAAATAACTTCAGGATGGAGAGCGGGGAGCAGACTGGAGAACGTCTGTTCTCCAATCTGCTCTGTGTGATCAGTGAGACAGAAGCAATGTACTCACAGTGCTTCCGGTCTCAGGTGTCACAACCCAGGCTGCACAGAGATCGAGCACAATACTCTTCTCAATCTTCTGTATTGGAGGACAGAGGAGACAGTCTACAGAAAGATAACCAGTCACCTCCAAACACTATCACATAGGAGCTTGTTAACTTTATTCCTATCACACATGGGCCAAGTGGAAAAAAAACATGATAAAAAGGTAAAAAAATAATAAAACCACCCCCACCGAATAAACGCATGGGTAGGGCTCTGTGTGTGCGTGCACGGAGTGCTGCCCCTATTCCGCTGTGAGCCATGTTGTGGCAGCCAGGTAGAAGCGCTCTCTCTAACGCACAATGTGCATTTAAGGGTAAGTTTACTTTCCCAAGTAATTTGGAAAAATGGAATTACCCGCTCAAATCTGGCCCTCTCTCCCCCTTCCTTTCCGCTGGTGTGGGTGTACTGTCCGTACTGCGTCCTGCCTTCCAATGCAGCCCTGCATGATGGATCTTACAGATATCAGGAATAGAACCAGGTGGCGAGATCATGCAAGTCCAGCGTGCATGTGTGAGAATTACATCATCAGTGCCTTCTCAGTGGGAGAAATCTACATGGCACCGGTGGGGACGGAGTGGATGTTGGAAGCTTGGGCCTCACATCGCTGGAGGAGAGCACACCCAGAGGTAAATGTGTCATATTGTACTGTGCATGCTTGTACATTATGTTACATCCTGACCCCCAAACACCCTTTACTTCTACAGTAAAGTATATTTTAATATTAATTATACTAATTGTAGGAGAGTGACTAACTCCGCAAGAAATCATAATGTTACGTTGTTCAGATGCTGAGCTGCAGTTCAGATGGCAGGCTTTACTGTATGAGTGGTGACACAAGGAAGTGCATAGTCACAGAGCTGAGTGAAATTGTGTCACTGCATTGAGAAAATACATCCTATGGGCATCTTCATTAAAGGAGAACTATGAGGTGAGTGCTTTTCACTCACCTCATAGTTCTAGCCGACCTGTGACAATGAGACTGTCACAGGTCGGCTCAGGAGATCGGGAGGTGAGCGAACACATACCGGCGTTCGCTCACCTTTCGATCCTGTCACAGCTCTCTGCCTTGACAGGGGAGGGGCTGGATTCCCCCCTCCCCGCTCCGATCGCCAGCGCTGACTGGCGGAACGGACGGGGGAGGGGGCAGGTACAGCTGGCTCTGCCTCTAGATAGAATCAGTCACGCATCTGGGCGGATCCCGGCACAATTGTCGGGATCCGCTTCAGCTGCGGCGTCTCAGTATACCGCGAGCTACAGCTCGCGGTATACTGAGCCTGGGAGGACGCTAGTTTGTGTCCTCCCGTTACCCTAAGCCCTCGTTCACACATGAACGTTTTGTAGCACGTTCTACGCTCGAAGAACGCTCTACAAAACGCTCAAAAATATAAATTGCATTGGAGTCAATGGACTCGTTCCCACCTTGCCGTATTTCCGCCCGTCCCGAACGCGCTACAAAACGGCCCACGCCTGAAAAGGTACAGGCACTACTTTGGGCCGTTTTGTAGTGCGTTTTCCATTGGAATACAGCCAAGTAGCCTTTGGAATCGCGCGACGGTCGCGTGACAGACGCGCTTTTGCAATACGCCTAGGTGTGAACCCAGCGTAAGGAGAACTATGGGGAAAAGCCTTAACCCCATAGTTCTCCTTTAAGTAAGTTTACAAACTTTTAGATCAATATGGTTATTAGGAGTGGGATAGGACTTATGGAAATTTAATATAGAAATACATACATATTATTAGTTTTTGACCATAGATACCCCTTAAACATTTTGTGACATAAACCAATGGATATACATTCTGTTTGCTTCCCCTTATCTACTCGGGTGTTAAATTGCTGCTGAAATTGGTACACAGGACCCGTTTATAAAACAGGATATATAGTGTTTCAGCTTTGCTGCTTCTTATTTCTCTCCAGCTGTTCTCACAGCTAGCTGTAAGCTGCGATCTACAGACTGGTGAAGTTAAAAATGGCAATGTAGTGAAAAAAGAGCTGGCAAGATTAAAAACAAAAAAAATGAAGCTTGAAGTAGAAAACCATAGAGAAAGGCCTGCAATATAACTACTTCTGTGTGTCTCTAGAGCAGTGATGTGCTAATCCACACATTTTCTGGGGTCAAATTTCATCTCTTCCAAAATGTGACCTCATTCTCAGCTGTAGGTGAAAAAAGGTTAACCGGCTGAAAATCTGACAGTGGCAAGTTAATGATTGATTAGTTGTCTATTAATAATCGATTAGTTGGCCAATTTGTTTTTTCGATTAATCGGATAAAGAAAAAAATACTACATTTAAAATAAAATGCAGTGTTACAAAGTTTACTTCAGATTAAAACTGCATGCACAAATTTTTGCAATCGCACTGCACTGGAACACACGCCATTGCGGTACTGTGTGATCCAATGCGGGGGCAATTACACTGCGGGTGGGAGGCACATTTGGGGTGCCATTGAAATGAATGGCAATCCAACGCACCTCCCGCAGCAGAATTTGTCAGGCTGAAAACGAAAATTACTTTTTTTTTTCCACTTTTGTATAATTTTATTCTAATAATTGTATTGCAAGCACATGACGCTTGAATAGCTTCAGCCAGGGAATAACAGCTGCCAGTGGCAAGATTCCACAGACAGCATGTAATGTAAATTGAATGTAAATACAGCAGGTAGTGGGCTGGTGCAATAGCCAGCCTGCTATTGGCCATTTCAAATTGCAATAGCACCAGAAAATGACAACTCCAACCACAATATGTAAAAATATATTTATTTATTTC